CCAGCTCCTGACTCTGATACTGATGTCAAAACAAACTCCGGATTCCCTCTGGTTGCTTCACTGAGCGAAGATGGACAAACCCAGCTGCAAGGGTCAGATTATGATTGAACATTTGAAAAGAGTTGGATAAAACCATTCAGCATGTCCCGCAGGGTTTAGGGGGGGGGCTTTGTAGAAGAGGGCACTGACGCAGCAGGCACGCCATGGAAATGCTGACAATAAAATATTATAAAGGAAATCTGCGTGGTAATGTGAAGACGGGGAGATGGCCTCATTTTGATGCCGAGAACAAACAGAATGACAAATAACTCAAGCGGCGAAAAAGCTTTTGTGTCAGCATGTTGTGCCTCATTAGAGCCTCCTTCTGATTTCTCATGGAATCACAAACTTAGCAACAAACATCAAACAAGATGCGGATAAAACGCCAGTCTATAGGCTCAAAGGTAAATCAGAGAGCTAGGATGCATCAGAGGAAGTCAAACTGGACTGAGTACACCACTTGAGCAGTAAGTCACAAGACATACAAATAATATACATTGTTTTAAGAACTGTTATTCTGTAAACTGTAGGAACTCCCAGTGCTCCTACAGCTTCATGAGCATCTGTCAGTCATGCCTGAATTCCTCTCCTGTCATGCTCCCTTGTTTCCTCAATCCCTCATTTCCTCTGTTAAAGAGCTGATGCCCGTACATGGCAGCAGACAGAGGGACAGCTCCTCGTCCTGTAAGCATCTCTCTGGATCCACTGCATACTGATGGGATTGTTCACTCCACCTCCAGATGGCTTCTACACCATACTTCCTCCAAACCCCCTCACCAGCCACTGAGATACATTGTAAAGTACTTTAAGTTCTCTTTTGTAATTAGCTAACTTGTTTGATATGAAACAGTGACTGGATTAAGTAAATATAAAAGGAAATGTTTGATATAAAAGCCACAAAGCATCCTGGGAAATGACTATTCACGTGAATCAACACCTAAACGACAGTATACAAATAAAGTCATTTTCACAGGGCATTTCCTGGAGTGCTAATGTTTTGTATTACTTCATAGTTCTTCCTACATAATGTGCAATAGTTTTAAGCTACATGACGCTAGGGCTGCTCGATTATGGCAAAAATCATAATCTCGATTATTTGGGTCAATAATTGTAATTGCGATTATTAAATGCGATTATTCATTGACTTTGAAAACATCCATTTATTAGAGAAAAAAAATGTGAACGGTATGTTTTTAACAGATGATTACCCTGAACTTTAAGTATAATTCAACAGAAAAACCAATTTTTTTTTAAAACATTTGGTTTAAAGCTTGTTTTTGTAGTAGTTGGAAAGGCTGACGCTGGTCTTAGCTAAACAGTTCTAACACAAGGATATTAATCTACCGAGCATTACACAACACAGACAGTTGTTTGACTTAACGTCAGAGCTGCTTTCTCCCTGCGAGAGGAATACCCTGCTTCCTATTTTCATACGAGTTCTAATTCACAGTGTTGGGTTGTTGACACCAAGCTAAATTCATCTAGGGGAGGTCATGTGCTTTTTCCGATAAGGTTTATCAACTCACAAATTCTTCTTTGCGCATTCAGTCCACTGATCCCATTCAAACATTAAACATACAGTGGAGTCTGGTAATCATTCCTTAAGGAGAAAAGGCAGGAATTCCAGCTTTAGGATAAGACTGACAAGTGAGGACTTCCAGGTCTCTCCACACACACACACACACACACACACACACACACACACACACACACACACACACACACACACACACACACACTTCTCTAAGAAATGCTGATAAGCCAACCCCACATGTTTTTACATTTCTACTCAAGAAAACATTCCCCTGAATTATTTTATTTCTTCTCTAATCTAAATTGAGCGAAATCTAATATCAGAGGACTCCTCTCATCTCTACTGTAAATATAATTTACCCAAGTAACAAACAAAGAAGTGAAGTAATGCACTTGAAACCACAAAATATTTGTGGTGAACACAAATAATCATATTGTCAATCAGAAGTTCTATATTCAAGGGACAAAGGACTGGAAAGACAAACTGGCTCGTTATACTGGGTATCGTACATTAAAAGAGACACACAGTACATTAGATGATTGCTTCATGTGAATCGTTTCCTTAATATCTGATCTTCACAATACACACATTCACAAAGTACAATCACACCCAGCGAGGATGTGTTCCGATGGAGAGGAAACATTCCCTGTTGTGTTGTTTCTGATTTTATAAATAGAAACCGAGGGACAAGTTGTCCTCCACAAGTGGGGGAGACCACACCGACATGTCAACCATGAGAATCTAGAGTGGGGCAGATGAGTGGTGGGAAACAGCGCTCTGGGATGACCCTTTGACTGTCCCCTACCCCGAGGGTCCCGAAACATCCAACCAGCAGGGAGACGACATTCACTTGTTGCCAATATTAGCTGCTCTTTTTTCAACAATGATAGGCCGGAAAAATGTAAATCCAGGCTGCTATTCAACCCTAAGGTTCTGTACGGAGATGCTAAGACTTATACCAAGTCACTTTGCTAATGTATGCAATGGAAAATTCCAGAAGCATCCATGAATAGCCCTTCCTTAGAGCTGCTATTTTGTAAATTACAGCACGATTGCAATGCACTACTATACTGGGGGTGGTACTGATACCGGTTTGGAAAAGATGCAGCTTTGATTTTGGTAATGGAGGGAGTTCAGATGTGTTTATATTATTTGAGGAACTCTCATGAACTTAACTACATTATTACTATTTTTACTTCTTTTTCCTTTTGATGCTTCGGAGCTTTTGAAGCACGTATGGCCCAGAGAGACACTCATCAACATCGGAGAAAGAAGCCAAGGATTGGATTAAGTGCAATGGACCCTGACCTCCGAGCCAGACCAAGTGCCACCTAGAGCGGTGTGACTGTGCCGGGAAGAGAGGGGGGAGAGAGGGGAGAGAGGGAAGAGAGGGGCGAGAGGGAGGAGAGGGGAGAGAGGGGAGAGAGAGGAGAGAGGGAGGAGAGAGAGGGGAGAGAGTGGAGAGAGGGGGGAGATTGGGAGAGAGGAAGGAGAGGGAGAGAGGGGGAGAGAGGGAGGAGAGAGAGGGGAGAGAGGGGGGAGATTGGGAGAGAGGAAGGAGAGGGA